GGCCCAGAACAACCCTTCGCCACCCTTTTACCCCTTCCTCCCCCACCCCACAAACGTCGTGCCACACCGCCCCCTCCCTCCCCCTTCCTGAGCCCTGGCTTCAGGTAGCACGATGACAATTTCTTTAATTACACCACAAGTAAACCGGGCCACAACAAGTTTCAATTAGGCCCTCCGCGTGCCGCCTGCCGCCTGCCGTGCTGGAGGACAACAGCAGGCAGGCGCTGCGCGCTATTCCAGGACGTGTCCCGAGCGCGCCGCCCTGCAGCACCAAGGCGCCGGCGCTCGCCGCCCTGCCGCCGGGCGACAGGTACGACGATACGCACGATCCACTTTACATAATTCGGCGCTAAGGTTCAATACAACAAGTGAGCAGGATGATGGCGCCGCCCCCCCCCCCTCCTTCCCCCTTCCATCGGCTAGGAATGTAGGCCAGCTCCAGCCCGCCCTTCCCCTCCCCCTCTCGGCGAGAGGCTCGCGGCCCCCTCCCTCCTCCTACCTCACAGAGACTCACAGTCCGTCGGTCCTCGTGCGTCCGCACTTATCAAATTGCCTTTTCGCTTTCCTCCTGGGGCCGGGCCGCGCGTGGGCCCAGAGTTACCCTCCTCCATGATGTAAGGGCGTCGTGCCTTGCCGCGGCCCGCGCCCTGGCGAGTTCGCGACCGCGCGGCAGCGACCCACAGCAGACACGCCGCTGACGGGGTCTTCCCCGCGGAGCGTCGTCGCGGTGCCCGTTGTCAACACACCCAGCAGGCGACGTCGAGTGGCGGCGCCGCGACGGCGGGGCGCGGGGCGGGAGAGAGGGGCGGGCGTGGGAGGGGGAGATTTCGCAACGCGCCGGCCACCGCCACTGCAGCGAGTTCCCGTTAGACTCGCGGCCCGGCCCCCGGCCCGGCGGGGTCCAGCGCCACTCCATCCCTTTGTATCCGAGGCGCGGCTGCGGAGCGCGGCAGAGTGCGGCAAGGCGTTGAAATTCCTTTCGCGTTTCGCGACTGCCGTCGCGCCGCCCCGCCACAGGATTCTGCTCGCCCAGCCTCACCTTCGCCCGCCGACCGACTCGACCCGGCCAAGGTAGCGCCTAACACGGCTCGGCCCCGCGCCACGCCGCGCCCGGGCCAAAGCCGCTCTCACTCTCTTACCGAGCCCGCCTGCTGTAACTAACTCGGGCCCCCATCATGGATGACGTACAAACCGAGCAACCAAATAAGACAGAGAGAGAGAGAGAAGAGGTACCAAAAAGATTGCAACCGACAAGACATAGTTAAAAGAAATACTTCGGAGACCGGAAACGGGGGAGGGGAGCGGCAGGAGGAAAGGGGAGGGCGACCAACGTAACTTGTGTAACCCGAGCCAAAGTTCAAGCTGCCCCGCCGCGCCCCGCTACAGCAGAGCCTACAGCAGAGCCGCGGGGCGCGGCAGGGCGGGGGCCGGGCTGGCCTGACATTTTCGAACCAAGTGCTATATCGGGCCGGGCGGGCCGGGTCTCCTATCCCAGCCAGTCACCGCGGCTATATTCCTCTCCCAGTTCCTTCTCTCTCTTTTCGCTGGTTTCTCGTCGCAGGTCAGCGGGGTGGAGAGGTAAGTGTGCACTGTAGGGGAGGCAGCCCACGAGGCCCGCGAGCTTCAAGGTGTACTCGACTCCGTCCTGGAGTAGTAGCCCCCGGGGTCGGCGTCAGCACCATGGTGCTCGACGCCCGCACGATCAAAAATCGAAGCCTAAAGGGCGGGCCTACTTTCGCTGGTGGAGTCATATCCGGGACGAGGAGTTGGCGTGAAGGGCCGCGGGGTGAGGTGCGAGGTGCGCGGGGTGCGCGTCAGGCGCGGCGGGGCGGGGTGCAGCGGCCGATGATGGCGTCGGCACCCCGTGTTCCGCGTTCCGCGCAGAGCCCCTCCCCGAGGCCCCTCCTTACCTGCGCCCTCGATAGCGGCCAGGCCCAGCCACCGGGACGGCGAGTAGCACGACCTCGACCGAAGGCCCCTCCACGCCACGCCCCGCCGCACCACGCCGCGCCGCGCCCCGACCTCGGCAAAGGTTTCCCCCCTCGCCCTCGCCTTCGACTCGCCCTCGTTGGCTCGGCACAAGGACACTCCAGCCCGCCCGCGCATGCCGGCGCCGATTGATGCTACAATTTCCCATCGCGCGCAGAGCAGAGCAGCCGCTCCCCGCGGGCAGCGCAGGGCGCGCCGGCCGCGCCTCGGCGGGGAGAGGAGAGGCGGGTCGAGCGTGTGGCGTGAGAACCGGGCGCCAGCGGCGGGGCGGGAGAGGCGCCGTCATCGCAGTGACACGCCCGACAACACCCACACGTCAGCCTCCACATTTCCTTTCCTTGGCCGCCGCTGCCTCGCCAAAACGACTCCACCACACCGACGCCCAGCTCAGCCACGCCCCCATTCTGGAATGCACCTCCTGGATCTCCCCCCCCCTTCCTCTTTCCCCGGGACCACGCCCCCTCTCCCCTTTCCCCCTTCCCGACCGGGCACGCCCGCTTTGCCGCTCGGCCCCGAAAAGTGGGTCAGAGTGCGACAGAGAGATGGCAAGGTCGTGGCCAGGGTAGGAGGGGCGTTCGGCGGAAGAGGCAGGAGTGAAGAGGAGGGGGAGGGGGCTCAGAGTGCGGTCACCGGCCCCCGTCATGTCACGTTGATCGCAGGGCCTAAAAATCGAGAGCGGCGCCCGAGGCCTCGTCGGAAACCAAAAAATATCAAGGAAAAAGGAGGACAACAGGGCGGTCCGTCCTGCGAGGCACAACTGAGAGCAATGGAGAACGACTGGGAAAAACCCAGCGAGGTGTCTCTCTCACACTCGTCCAAACGCCACACGAGGTGCAGCCAATCTCTCCTTCTCCCTCTCACACAGACACACACGACACAACCCGATAAGATCAAGTACTCACGATATCGTGGCCGGTGGAGCCGCCGCGCACCACCTCCGGCGCCATGTACTCGATGGTGCCGCAGAACGAGTAGGCGCGCTGGTCCTTCTCGTGCGGCAGGAACTCCTTGCTCAGACCGAAGTCCGTGAGCACCACGTGGCCGTCCGAGTCCAGCAGAATGTTCTCCAGCTTGATGTCCCGGTAGATGATGCCCAGCTGCAACAAAGAGAGGAGCATGTCAGTCAAGCGGTAGGTGAGGTGGCAGGCGGGGGCTTGCGAGCTGTTGGCGCTCCCACAGCCTTGCCACTCGCGCCAAGACAAACTCTCCGGCACTTCGCACGCGTGCACCACAACATAGCCCTAGACGACCCCCCCCCCCCTTCCAAATCACACAAACTGCGCTTCACTGACATCCTGGGACCCGCCGACAGATTTGTCCTTCGCCGGCCGCGCGTGGCCCCACGTGTTGTGCCGGCCACCCAAGGACCTGGCCTGGCGGCGACCTGGCGAGGGGGGGGGGGGGGGATCAACAGGACGACATCGCCGCCGTTGTAAATGTATTCCAGCGGACGACACAAAAAAAGCGTCGCCCGGCCCCCGGCTCCCCGCACTCCCGCCGGGTCACCCTGGACTTGTCACGGGCGGCGCGGGGTCGACCAAGGGTCAGGATGCGGCGGCGGCGTGGCGGCGCGTAGCGCTCACCTTCTCGTGCGGGCGCGCCGCCGGGTCCAAAGGACGACGCGGCCCCCCACCACCACTCGTCCTCCTCACCCACGTAACGCCCGTAACGCGTGTACGGTGCAGCGTTACGTGCGCGCGCGGGGACCGGGCAATACCCATCGAGGCCACGGAGGCCGCGCGCACGAGCCGGCCCGCGCCGGGTCACATGACGCCCAAGGAGACAGAGTCGTGGCCCCGTGCCACGCAGCAGCGCCGCGCCCTTGCCGAGTTGGTTCACCCGTCCCGGACGTCACTCGCCGCGGCCGAACCAGATCAATTAATATCGCCACCGAACGGGGCCGACACCCTGGTGGAGGCCGGCCCGACCCCGTCCGCGACCCCGCCGGCCACAGCCGGGCCGCCCGTGACGCGTGCCGACAGCCCGTAAGGCACCTCTCGCTGGAGATGGAAAGCGACAGAGTCGCGCAGTTGGCCAGATGGCGGGCGAGTCCCCGAGGTCCGCATCTGCAGCTGGTCGCGGGCTGACCACCTGATCTTCCCCCCTCCGCTCTGCTCTGCTCCCCAACCCCGCGACACACAACGCATGGCGGCGGGCCTGGTCGGTACTCGGCGGCCGCGGCCCGTGGTAGCAACGACCCCGCGGCCTAAAGCCGCCTCGCCGGCGTACGCCGGCCTTCCGCTAGCGTCAGCACAACCACAGCGCGAGCCAGCGGAGCGCCCTGGAGGTAGGCCGGCCCGTCGAGCGGGC